AGTTTATGAGCTTCTTTCTGCAAGAGCTGTCCAGCGGCTAATGCCCATAGGCAGGGGGCCCATCCCCGAACTGTGGGGTCTAATTGCTTGGAGAGATAAGCTACTGGGGCAAAGGATGGGCCATAATATTGGCCTAGGACTCCTAGAGCTTGACTGGACCTCTCATGGATGTATAATGAGAAGGGCTTCGACAAATCAGGAAGATGGAGAGCTGGGGCTTCCACAAGGGCTTGACGGAGCTTAATGAAGGAGTGTCGGGGTGAGGATGATAATGGTTTTTCAGGGGGGCCCTTGCTGAGGTCATATAGGGGTCTTGCCAACAGGGAGAAGTTAGGGATCCACTCTCTAAAATACCCAGCCAGACTTAGAAAGGAAAGGATTTCTGTTTTGGTTTTGGGAACGGGAAGGTCAGGGATGAGCTGTTTTCTGTCTAAGGTAATTGACTTTTTTTGTTGAAATAGAAGGAATCCGAAGTAAGTGACAGAAGGGGAAGAGATTTGAGCTTTGACTGGGGATACTCGGTAACTTCTGGAAGCTAGAAGGTTAAGTAGGGAGGCAGTGTCTAGTTGATAATCTTCCCACAAGGGACTGCAGAGTAGAAGATCGTCCACGTATTGTAATAAGGTGGACTCAGAATGATCATGATGAAACTGTTTGAGGTCCTGAGCTAGGACCTGTCCAAAAATATGGGGACTATCTCGGAAGCTTTTTGGCAAAACTGTCCAAGTGAGTTGTTCAGAATGTCTTGTGTATGGGTCCGTCCAGGTGAAGATGAAAAAATCTTGGAAGGAGGGGTCTAGAGGGGTAGAAAAATGGGTTTTTGAGATCTAGGACTGAGAAGTGGGATGCTGAGGCAGGGATTTGCGATAAAAGGGTGTAAGGATTTGGAACTAAGGGATGGATAGGGACAACGGCCATGTTGATGAGGCTAAGGTCTTGGACGAGTCGGAAAGATCCGTTGGTTTTTTTTAACAGCTAATATGGGGGTATTAAATGGGGAGTGAGTGGGTCTGAGGTAATTTTTGTTTAAGAGATCTTGAATGATGGGTTGGAGGCCTATGAGGGCTGAAGTGGTTAGGGGGTATTGGGCCTGACAGATATACTGAGAGGGGTCACGTAATTTGATAGAGGCAGGGGGACATAGGGCTACGGAGGGGCTTGTAATCTCCCAAACTTTGGGATTTACAGGGTGTATATGGGCGGAACCGGAGCTTTCATTGGGTAGAGGGAGTCGTCGGCTATGAGGGCCATCAGAAAGGGAGTACTGGGGACTGTGGGAGTGGATATAGTTATGGAAACGTGGAGGAGGGAAAGGATGTCCTGTCCTAGTAAAGGGATGGGACACTGGGGCATAACCAGGAAGTTGCTGGAGAAAGGTATGGGATTGTCTTGGATTGTGCATAAAAGCGGGGGGGGGGAGGTTAATGGAAAAATCTGTTTACCTCCTACCCCGACTATAGGAGTAATGGCTGGCGTGGTAGGGCCCCGGTATTCCCCCAAGACTGAGAAGGTGGCTCCTGTATCTAGGAGGAAGGAGATGGGGCGACCGTCTACTATTAAAGTAACCCTGGGCTCCTGTTTGGTGATGAAAATGGTCGGGCGAGAAGCCCTCAGGCCCCGTCAATCTTCTTCTGCCAGCCCCGCTACGGCGGGCTTAGGATGGGGGTTGTTCGTCCAGCCTCCCGTTCGGGTGGCTGGGCAATCAGACCCCCAGTGGCCCTTTTTGTGGCATCTGGGGCATGGGGTGGTAGGAGATCTGGGGGAGGGGCATGCCCTTGACCAATGTCCTTCTTTTCCGCACTTGAAACAAGCTCTTAGGGGGGGCTTGTTTGTAGAGGGGCGCCCAGGTTGTGGTTTTATCAGCTGGGCCAACATTTGGAAATTGGCCTGATCAGCCTTTTGTTTATGGCGTTCTTTCTCCTCCTCCCGGTTATGGAAGACTTTAAAGGCCACTGTTAGGATTTCAGTCCGTGGGGTAGCGGGTCCCTGTTCTAACTTTTTGAGTTTAGCTTTAATGTCGGGGTAGCTTTGAGCTAGGAAGTATGTTATAAGGACATGTCTTCTATCAGGCATTTCTGGGTCAAGGCTGGTATACTGTAATAGGGCTTGAGTGAGTCTGTCTAAGCTACGTCCCAGAGGGGGGCGATAATTTTGGGAGGCCCTTGGGACGGAGTCTGAGGGGGACTGAAGGGTTCTGGCTCAGTCTGTGGGGGAGTGACGCGGTCCAGCTGCGCCTAGTCCAGCAGGTCTTGAAGTGCGGAAGGGGGGTCAAAGAAAATAAAGATAGAAAGAACTGGGAGGGCTGACACTCCCATGCGCGGCCAGCCAGCAGCTCAGCTGCTTGCTTCTGCCACTCCAGTTGGGCTTGAATTCATGACTCTGAGGTTAAGGGTCTCATGCTCTACTGACTGAGTTACAGCAGGGCTTTAGTTAGTTGCTTATGGAATGTATAAACAGAATGTTCTTTGTTCTTCATTCTTGCCACATTGGCAAGTGGGGGAAGGGCATAGCTAGAAACGGGTGGTGTTTCTACACATCTTCAAGGTCTCTCTATTTTCAGAGTGAGGAGTCTTGGCTCGTCTTTGAGAACAAGATATGTTTTTGTGGACAGATAACTTCCAAGGGCTGCACCGGTTGTTCTCAAGCTTGTGCTTTCCCATGCTGCGTTCAGACATGGGGGAAGGTACTTTCCCATTCTCCCTACAAACATGTGAGAAGACAAAGGCGGTCCCCAACAGGGGAGAAACAGGTGATGAGGGCAAAAATGGAGGAGGCCCCCGGGACCTAGTTAAAGGGGGGCTGAAAGGCTCAGGTTTAATCTACGGGGTACGAAGGCAGAGGAGGTGAGATGGGGGAGGAGATGGTGGGGGAGGAAGGGAGAAGGGCTGTTGTAGGAGAAGAAGGGGAAGGGAGTGAATGGGAGGCTTCTGCGGGGGCAGCGGCTTGCAGGCTAGGAGAACTTGGGAGGGGGGCTGGGGAAGAAGGAGGCAGAAAGCTTGGATATAGGGAATCTCCTTCCATTTTTTCAGGCACTGGCAGTGAAGAGATTGCCAGTGATGTTAGGATTAAGAGTTCCCCCTGCAGGCTATTGGTTGTTATTGTCTAGGGGGTATGTCGGCCAATTTTGGGAGCAGTATTTACGGAGAAGTTTTGGTTTTATATCATGTGTCAGGGAGAGGGTAGCCAGATGCTTAAGCAGGCATTCAAAGGGTGAATCCTTAGGGAGGGATGAGGAGGCTCCCATGGCTAAAGGACAGAGAAGGAGACAAACAGGGGAAGACGAACAGAGATCCTCAGACTGGGAGCAGACCTCAAGGAGACAAAGGGCGTCCCCGATGATCCTTGGTGGTCTGCAGAAACTCGTATACGAGTCGGAATTTCTTAGGAAGTGTGGGTCGTCACCCAGACTTCCCTAAGAAGGCAGAGTGCTGGAGTCACGAGGTACCTAGTACTAGGAATTTTTGGCGGACGGAACGGATTTTGGCAGGCAGAATGGAAGGAGGAGGGGGGAAAAGGGAGCATTCTCATCCACAAAGGAGTCACCTCGTTTATGGCTGTTGGAGGGGGGCCTGAGGGTCTGCAGCAGCTGTGAAGGCCTGAGGCGGCGATTTATGGCTGTTGGAGGGGGAGGGGCCTGAGGGTCCGCCGCAGCCGTGAAGGCCTGAGGCGGGGAGAGTTCCCTCCTCATCCCCGAGTGTCAGGGCCTTGCCAGACGATGACGGTTAATGGCGCTGCGATAGCTCGGGGAAGAGTGGCCCACTTTAGGGGAAAACTTACCTAAAGGCCAGAGAGGAGTGGTGAGTGCGATGAGCCAGTGCCGGAAAAAGAGGATGAGGGCAAGCTGCTGCTGGTGTCGAGGGAAGATGGGGCCCAGTTGGGGTGTCCTGTCTCCCAGGTTTTGGCACCAATGAAAGGAAAGGAGCAACACACAGCAGCAATTCACCGGAGAATTCCGCTTTATTAGGGAAATGTGCTGGGTTATATAGGAAGGGGCATGGGGTGATTGCGGTGTTACTTCTACGGGGCTGGTGGCTATTGGCCAGGTGCTGGGAGGGGAGGGGGGCGAGAGGTGATTGGGCTTCAGGTGGCGCCGGCGGGAACTGAGGACCTGGAAGAGAAGCCAGAAGTTCGCCATCATACTGGTGGGGGCCCTTCACCACCCATCGCGGCCAAGGCTGAAACCACCAGAGTGCTGCTTGGACGCGCCTGGGCCCAAGACCAGCCCGGCCTCCTGTCCTGCCCGCCCCTCCAGAATTTCCACATCCGCTGTCACAACGCGGTGACTCTTGCCCGGCAGCCCGTAACCCGCCGAGAACACAGGCACCTGGCTGCTGGGGCCGCACACGCAGGAGCACGTGGGCGGCCAAAGCCAGCGGAGCTCAGGTGTAAGGGGCAGGGACAAGGTCGGGCCCAGCTGCGCAGGCGCGGGACGCCCTGCCTCCTCCCACATCCAAGACTAAGGGGCAGGAAGCCGCTACCCCGAGGGCCCGGGCACCTCCGGTGCTGCTCTAGGACCACAGGATGACCCAGATATCTGTGGTCCGCGCCGCCAACTGATGTGGAGGTGCGCTGTTGTCTCCTTGTGGTTTTGATATGCATTCCCCTCCTGATTAGTGCTTTTGAGCATCTCTTCAAATGCTTATTGGCCATCTGTATATCTTCTTTGGAATAATACTGCTGGGAGGAAGTCGGTTCAGAGAAGCAGGGAAGTCAGAGTACAAGGTGAATTTGTTAAAGCGAGAATGTCAGGGAATGACAGGACAGAATGATAAAGGAAGGTCATTGAACTGCTGCTCAGCATGGGGCACATCCCCTGCCAACTCCTTAAGCCAATGTCACCTGGCGTCCAGTATTTCCTTGGATCTGTACTGGGTGGGAACTGAGTCTCCACCACCCCAGGATTTGGGGGAGCCGCAGAGCCCTGGCTGGAGTGAGATTATGTTCTGCAAACTTCCTAGAGGCAAAGAAAGACTTTCACGCAGGCTGCTAAAGAGCATGACGGTAAACTGCAGTTCCTTCCGGAGCACCCAGGCGACAGTAATTTGCAAGTCCAGATCTGAGATCTCAGCAGCCCCTCCCTCCTTATCTGAAATAGGACAGAGTGAAGTTTTTTGATAGGGAAAATTTACAAGGACAGAACCTAGCGGGTGGCTCCACTCTGTCTCGCACCCCTCCCTCCTCAACATAAACACTACAAGGACAGTAATTTACGAGGTGGCTCCTCTCTGCCTCGCCCCCCTCCTCAACCCAAACAAAAAAAAACACTACCTTGGTTTCCCCATTCTGCCCAGCACCGGGTCCCAAGGTTCGTTCCCTAAACTCCCTCCCCCTTGCCTGCTCGCTTGCTGTGTACTTAGGAATGTTACAAATAAGGAAGCAGAAAGGTATAAATTGCTACCTTTTCCTTTGTTCGGGGCTCAGACTTTTTGGGAGATTACTCCCCTCTGAGCTCCCCACGCCCCCCCCCCCCCCGTGTGAAATAAAGCCTCAACACTCCAAGACCTCCGAGTGCCGCTTGGTTTTTTCTGTCGGTGATCCAGTCCAGCCTTTTTTTCAGTATTTTCCCTAACAGTTTAAACTTAAATCCGGAGGATTAGAATGAAAAAACAAAGTAACAAAGACAGATACCACTGGAAAAGCGCAGAGACGAAACGTTGTAAATTGAGCAGTGGGAAGTTTTTTTTCAGGCAAAAAGGTGCATGCTGGAAGAACGGGGACTGTGGGCTACCTCAGAGAAGAGGAGCTGGAAGGTCTGAGTTTTATTTAAGGCTACCCACTTAGAAAGTATGGGTGACTTCAAGGAGAGGTGAGCCCTGAAAGGATTTTTCAAAAATATGACAAAGGGCTAGGAATGTAGACTTGTTAAGTGGTTGCAAAATGTTCATCTTTGATGAGACATTAAGTCTTTTATCAGTTTTCCAGGTAATTCTGCAAAATTAACACAAGAAATGTATTGCTCTGATTCCTCCCCAGAATAACAGAACAAAAAGGCATGATTAACCCAATAAAAAACATGGGCTATGCTAAGATACTTTCCTTTATCTGGGGTATATCAAACATTCTAAGCCAAATTACTGCTGGCTTTTTGAACTTTAACTGATAATTAATGTGACCCTGACTTTTCTTAATGTTTAACAAGGAGTTTCGGTAGGGGTTTCTTTGCATAGTTACACTGGGCTGACTGTCATTATCTGGCTGTAGGTAAAATGGTAATGTTTCCAGAATACCTCGCCTGGGGTGCATCTGCATATCGACAGGTGTTCCTCAGGGGGTGGAGAACCATAAATCTCCCTGTCAGTGGGTAATTACCTGGGGGACTAAGGGCTTATCTGAACCTGAGAGGTGAGGGGGAGGATTTCCTTGTTTCTGCCAGCCTGAGAAAGACGGCTCCAGACTGCAATTTGTAAGCATTAAACGGGTCTTAAACTTTATCTCTCCTTTTGACTGATACGGTTTTAGAGATATTTTGCCCCACGATTTCCTCTCCCCAGAGTTACATCTTTTGGTAGGGATTTCTTTGCATATGGTAACATTACTCTGACTGTAATCATCTTGCCTTGCTTTTCCCGGTAGCCCTCACCCTATTCTGTCTAAACCCACCCTCACTTTCTGTAAGTGTGTAACTTTCAATAGAACTTTGACTCTGTTTCTCTACTGTGTCTCTGCCCTTAAATTATGTTGCGGCGGGGACACGAACCGAGGAAAATAAACAACGCCCCCGTGACGGCTGTGCGAGCCGCCTGGTCTTGGCAACTGCCCAGCGTCCAGGCCGGGCGCAGAGCAGGACCCGGGAAGCCCGCGCAGAACCTTGCCTCCAGTGGAGCCACACTCTGGACCACAGAGTGCCGGTCCTCCCGGGTCCCTAGAGCTGCCGGAAGTGCCTGTGGGTCGCTTCCGTCAGGCCCCGCGTCGTCCTGCAAGGCCGCTGGCTCGGACCGTTCGTCAGGTGCTGCGTTGGCTCGGGGGCCGGGGCTGCCTTTCGCGGGTGGGAGCAGGGGCGGCTGGCCGGAATGGGACCCTGGAGGCCGGTGGCTTCCCCTGGGTACTGATGGGTGAGGACTCGAGCGGGCCGCTCGCCGCTCCTGAAACTGGCCAGGCAGCGAGGGAACGTCCGAGCGGTTGGCGGCGGGTGGTCGTTGACCAGCGTGCGGGGCCGGCCTTCTCGGGAGAGTGGAGTCCGAGGAGGCCGTAGACGGAGCCCGGCGCTCCTTCGCACCGACCCCGCTGCGCCGCGAGGCCCTGCGCCTTGGGGCCGGGGGCTGCGCTGGCCAGGCTCCGTTCCAGCGCGCGGTGCGGCCGTTCGGGCAGAGCGCCCTCCTCCTGCAAGCGCAGGCGTGTGGGCCGGTCACCCGACGTGCCGTGCCCGCTGTGCTGCTCCTGTCCTTCCGCGTCACAGCCCCTTTCTCCATACCTCGGCTGCCTCGCGCCCCTCAGGCCCACCTCCCGGAGGTTGTTCCCCTGTGCTGTGGCGGAAGAAGTGGGCCTCAGCGTAGATAGGCCTGGGTTCTGGTTCCAACTTGGGACGCTACGCTTGAGCCTCGGGCTTCTTCCTGGTGAGGAGAGGATAATAGCCTCCCCAAGTGCCTTGGACGGTGGCTGCTGTCTCCGTGTTCTGTGGACGGTTTTCCCTCATTCTTTCGTTATTTAAAGAAATATGTGTGCGCCCCTGTTTTATGGTTCTCTTCCTTCCCCCCACCTCGTCTCCCTTCCTGGCCAACTCCAACCTGCCCTCTTCCCAGGACCCCTCTGCCACTTGCTCCCAGGGCATCACCTATCACATTGACTGTCACCGGTGCTTCAGGCTTTTAGCGCCTGGTAAGTGCAGACCGTGTCCTCATTCATTGGTCCCAAGGACTTGGGAGTCACTGGGCTTTTCTCTCCTCCCGACCCAGGCATTTGCAGCTGGGACGCCTCCTGCAGGTTGGCTGATCAAAGAGGAAAAAGCAGCAGTGTCTGCCATGGGGGCTACAGCTCCATACCTGCATCACTCAGGTGACAGTAACAGAGGCCGGGTGAGTTTTCTGGGGGCCCAGCTCCCCCCAGAACTGGCAGCAATGCCCCGGCTCCTGGGGGACCTGGACAGGGGCACATTCAGGAAGTTGTTGAAACTTGTGGTTAGCAGCCTGCAAGGAGAGGACTGCCAGGAGGCTGTGCAGCGCCTCGGGGCTGGTGCAGACCTGCCGGAGGAGCGGTTGGCCGCACTGCTTGCTGGCACACACACCCTGCTCCAGCAGGCACTCCGGCTGCCCCCCACCAGCCTGAAGCCCGATGCCTTCAAGGACCAGCTCCAGGAGCTCGGCATCCCCCAAGACCTGGTCACGGACTTGGCCAGTGTGGTGTTTGGAAGCCAGCGGCCTCTCCTCGACTCTGTGGCCAGGCATCGGGGGGCCTGGCTGCCCCATGTCGCCACCTTGCGGTGGAGGGTGGATGTGGCGATCTCCACCAGCACCCTGGCCCGCTCCCTGCAGCCAAGTGTCCTCATGCAGCTGCAGCTTTCGGATGGGTCAGCCCACCGCTTCGAGGTCCCCGCAGCCAAGTTCCAGGAGCTGCGGTACAGTGTGGCCCTGGTCCTGAAGGAGATGGCTGACCTAGAGAAGAGGTGTGAGCACAGATTGCAGGACTGAGGGACTGCCAGGCTTGTGGTCCCTGGGGGGCTTCTGGCAGGCAGGGAACTCCAAGGCAAAGCCTGCCTTCCCAGGTGGCACTCTTCATATAAAGTACATATGATGTTATTCTCTGTTTAATTGAAAAAGACAGCTGTATCTTCATTTTTTGGAAGTAAAGTACTGTAGAAACATGTTCCTCTAAGTGGGTGTCAAACCAGACCAACCCCTGGCCATTGGTCTGGCCGCTGGTGGGGGCACCTGCTGCTCCGGTGTGGCCGTGCATCTGGTCCCCGTCTGAGGTCCAGGCCGAGGTCTTTGTGCCGACACCATGACGTCGCTCAGCCTCTGAGGTCTCTGCCCATCTGCTTTTGTGAAGCCTTTGTTTCAGTGTGGACATTTCATTCTACTGTCTTAAATCCCTGACTTGGGGGAGTCAACATTCTAGTGGACAGGGGAGACATTTCAAAATGCATAATAAATAACAGATGGAGCTTGTTAGAGGTTGATAAGTGATGCACACATTAGAGCAGGTATGGGTGACAGGAGGCAGGGTCACGGGACTGGGTCACAGGGGGCCTCCTTGAGGACATGGCAAAGACTTGAAGGAAGCAAGGGAGCGCAGCGACCTGAAAGGTGGGGACTTTGGGCAGAGTGGGCAGTGCATGGCTGCAACCGGTAGTGTCTGTAAGAGCTTTGGCTCAATTTTGAGTGAAATAGCTGTGGTCCAACAGTTGTCTTAAAATAGTAACACTGGGTGCTGTCTTGAGAGCAGAGTGTGGGGCACAAGGGTTGGGGTTGGGAGCCTGGTGGGGAGGCCGTTACCACAGTGGAGTTGGTGGCAGGGGATGGGGGCAGGGGCCTTACCCAGGTGCCTCTAGGGTGGTGTCTCAGGCAGCTGAGGCTACCGTAACAAAATGCCACGGACTAAGTGGCTTAAACAACAGAACTGTGTTTCCTCAGTTTTGGAGGCTGGGAGCCTGTGGTAGGGTCCTGGTGAGGCCTGGCTGACAGGCCTGGCTGGCAGACTTTCAGTGCACTGTGTGAAGGAGAGAGCTCTTCCATTTGAAGGGCACCATCCTGTCAGATCAGGCCCCACCTGTAATGCCCTCATTTAATCTTAGTCACCTCTCTGAAGGCCTGTCTCCAGACACAGTCACACTGGAGGTTAGAGCTTCAACATGAGTTTGGGGGGCGGGGGGCACAATTCCATCTGTAACAGTGGGAGTGTGCAGGGGAGAGGGGAGCAGGATCCTTGCCCAGGTGCCCCTCGGGTGACAGTGTGTAGGGCCCCTCCTCTGCACCCTCCCAGCATGACTGCACCCCAGGTAGGGGCTTTGGGATCCTGCTGTCTGCAGTGGTTTGCCATCAGGCTGAGCTCTCTGCCAGGACACCAGATCACAAGCCTTTAAGGATAAACAGGCCCAAGAGGCATGCAGGAACTTCCTCTGAAAACAGCAAATGAGCTTGGATGCCCAGCTGACATACTCGCACATCCATGTTAGAACCCCTCCCCCCCTTCCCACCCCACTGCTCCATGCCAGGCTCCGTCTGTCAGCTCCCACCACCTCAGTTAAGGCCTCTCCGAGTCAGGGTCGAGGCAACTTAGCTGCAGGTCAAGTGCAGGGAAAGGGGGAGGCTGCCCCTGGAGGCTGAGGATGAAGTGGAGGCTGCTGTGTATTTGGACCAGGCTCCCAGGTAGAACCCCCCAGGTGGGGGCCAGTCCTGGCTCAGCCAAGGGCACAAATTTGCTCTATCTCCTTCAGCACTGGTTGGCATCCTAGGGCCCTGCCTCTCTGATTACAGGAGCTGGACTAAGCTGTCCAAGCTGCCACCCGGGCCCCAGAAGGATGTTACAGGTAAACTGTGCCATGTCTGCTTCAAATGACGGAAGCTTTCTATGCTATGTACTTCTATCTCAGATGTTAGCCATGTTTAGGGGATATATACTTATGATAAAATTGGAAAAACCCCAAAAGTTAAAAAAAAAAAGGAACTTAAAGTGCTTTGGCCCCTAAACAGCCACAGATACCCTCTTGGCTGGGCTCCTTAACTTCCCCTGGGTGTCTGTCTTTGTGTTCATATAACTCTTCTTAGTAGTAGGACAGTCCTATGTAATGGCTGTAAAACATGCCACCCCACGAGGGGATGTGCTCTATCTTACTGAGGCATAACAAGATGCCACAGAGTGGGCCACTTAAACAGAGACATTCATTTCTCGAAGTTCTGGAGCTGGAAGCCTGAGATCAGGGTGTCAGCACAGCACCTCTTTGGGGTTGCAGAGCCCTCCCGGCTGTGTCCTCACAGGTGGAGGGGGTGAGGGAGCTCTGGGTCTCTTCTGTGAGGGCACCAACCCCATCATGGGGCTCCCCCCTCATGATCTGAGCTCATCCCGAAGTCTCCACCTCCTAACCGATCACACTGATCATCAGCATCTCACCACGTGAATTCTGAGGGGCACAGTCATGCCATGGCAGCTGTTGTGTTTTTTTTTTCTTCTGTTAAAATTCAGTGATAGTAATGGTGAAATCACTTGATGTATTAAAACTGCTTAAATGTAGAAATAGATGTGGCAGAATGTGATTTTAAAGCTCCCGATAGTGCTAAACTGTGACCTAAAATACATTCTGAACACGTATAAGATCCCCCCAAGGATCAGGCAGTGGAAATGCAGCCGTGAGCACAAACGAGTAACAGGTGTGACCAGCAAATGCAGTTCCAGGCACTCCCGCCAGGCACCAGGCTGAGCACTGCACGTTGCTAACTCATTAACGCGGGTAGTGTGAGGTGTCTTGCTTCCCTGGTGACAAAGCACAGAGAGGAGAGGCTGTCAGTGGATGGGGCCTGATGTTCTGTTCTCATCAGCCTTTTCTCCCCACCTGGATGAGGCTTCCCTGTTGCAGTGAACTCCATATGCTGACTTTTGAGCATGTGACCATGGAGGGTGGCAGGAGGGGCAGTGTTACCCCTGGGAGACTTCAAGAGGCTCTCCCTGCTGGTCCCCAAGTGAGGACACGTTTATGGTTGAAAGTCGCTGAGATGTAGGGGCTGCTATTGTGCAGGGCTACTGGAATTTGGCAGATGGAATAATGGAGACCTGGTTCTGAGCCTGGCCTGTTTGCCCAGCAGGGTTCTGAGCTCCACTGCCATGTAAGGGCCACGTGGCCAGGACCCCTCGCTCTACATCACACACCTGGTGACAGTGGATAGGCACCTCGCAGGCCGCCCTGGTGTTGGCATCCACAAGGAGTGTACACGACTCCTTCCCAGGGGCCCCAAAGGAGGACAGGGCTGTCACTCAGAACTTAGCTCAAGCCTGTCAGTAGCCCCTGCGGTAGGGGGTGTTTTTCCATCCACAGATGGGCTAACTGAGGCTTGGAGGTGCATGCGTTAGGTAGTGGGTGTGCACTGGGATTCACACACCCGTTCTCTGCCTGCTGGCCCAGAGACACCCAGTCCTTTTACCCCCAGCCAGGGTTGCCTGGCTGTTTGTTTTCACGGGCATGCTGGTGTGTCTACTCTGCCAGTTGACTTTGCAGGCCCTGGAGAGTCAGAGAAGTCAGCAGGCTGGGAAGACCCTTGACCCTCTGGAGGCACAGAATCTGACCGCATGCCATCTCCCATCACCAGCTTCACCAGGTTCCAGGTAAGTCGGCATACGCTCTGCTCGGTCTCCAGCCCCCATACCTGCCAGAAGGTGCTGTCTGTATCTTTTACCATCCAGTCAGTAAGAGGATCAGAACACTGTTATCTGCTGCCTCCCTGACTGCTTGGCAGAGCCCCTGTAGCCAGACCTGCATTCAGCTCTCAGATGAGCCCTTGACATCTCTTGATACTGGAAATTCTGGGTTCGTCCCTGGTTGTGAAGGCTCATCAAGGTGGGACACAGGTATATAGCAACACGTCATGGCACAGGTGGCTTTCATGGGAGACACAGGACAGGGAGTGGGCTATTCCTGGAACTGCTGGCTTCTGGAACTGGCACAGCAAGGGAATGAAGGGCAGCCAGCATTAAAAGGGCATGCAGGACTTGAGCCTCGCCATGGGAGCAGGGGGGCAGACACAATCTGACTTGAGAAGACTCCTCTGGCTGTGGGAGCAGACTTACAGGCCAGCAGGGGTGGCCCTCCTTACCCCATCCCCTCAGGGTTGGTAAACTTTTCCATGAAGGGCCAGAGAGGGTATTTTAGCTTTCTAGGTCCTAACAATTCTGTTAGCTCAGCCATTAGGCTCAAAAGCAGCCAGAGATGAAATGGTGTGACTGTGTTCTTACAAACTGTTTCACTGGCATTAATTTCATGTGTCACTAAGTACTTGTTTTCAACCACTTAAAAGCCACTCTTACCTCCAGGGCTGCAGAGCCGGAGACTGGTGGGTGGTGGCTATAACTACTCTGACTGTAAGCCACACTCCTTGGGGATTTATACACAGGGATGTATAAACCCACCTGGGCCCTGCCTCCCCCCACTTTATTTGTGAAGCTTCCAGAGAGCTCAAAATAGTTCCAATCCAATGTCTAAATTAAAGCTTTATCTGATAATTGAAATAAAAAGCAACTTCAGGTAAAAAATATGGATTTAATTGGCCCCCCCAAAGAGAAATCCAGCATATTTTAAAACCTACTCTGAAAACAAGAGTTCTGGAAACTCTTATAGTGAGTTTACTGTTGTATTTACTGAAGCCCAAATTGGGAAATGCAGCTGGAAAGTAAAAGAATATTCCAGACCAGCACTGCTCTCAGGCAGCCCTCCTCACCCCCCTCCACAAAAGTGCCAGCACATGACACATGCAGATGCCCCTCACGGGTCCTGGAGCCTCAAGCCCATGCAGTAGTTTGCATTCAAAGTGTCTCGCCAGCCAGGCCCAGCAGTATCGCACTTCTCACATGGCACAGCTAAGAAAGGACTCCTCCTAAACTGCTGCAGTTGATCTTAACTGGAGTGTAGGACTTTAGGTTTGTTTCTACTGAAGTCTCTGTTCCATGGGGACATTTAAGTAAACAAACAAACTAAGCACTAAGAAGAAAAATAATCCTGCAAAGACTGGAGGACACAAAGCTTTCACCCAAGTGAATGAGAACAGCAAGTGTGGAAACCTGGCTCTTGTAGCACGAGGAGTGAACATATGTGCCAGCTGTGCTCTGACCAACTTTATTCGTCACCCTGAAATCTGACTTCAATATGGTCTTTCAGTGTCAAAAATAGTCTTTTGTTTTTTCACCCAACCACATACAAAATGTAAAAATCTTTCTTAGCTCTTAGGCCTGTCAAACAGTAAACTGAGATACATTAAATTTTTTAAGTCTGGGCAAAAAACAGTCTAGAAACAGGCAGCACTAAACTGAGAGTGGTTAGTTCTGTGCCCGCAGGTACTGGGGGCAGGTTTCCAAAGAAAAGACAGAAAAACAAAGCAAGGAAATAGTTTGGAAATAGCTTAAGCACTTGCCTTATTTGGGAAAACCTCATGGCTGTTTGTAACTGGTTCTTAAATTCTTTTCTCCAATGGGGCCCATTTACAGGAATTGACTGGCTTTGGTTTCCATCTGCTGTGTGCTTACCAAGGCATTCAAAGCCACCCAGCCAAGTGGCCCATGTTTGATTACTTTTAACAGGCTGCATACAGGCAGGCAGCAGACTGCATTTAGCCCCACAGGCCCTAGCATGCCAGCCCTGCTCTACGTCCATGTCAGCACAAAAAGAACCCAGGTGATGAAACAGATTTAAGGTTGGAACCTCTGGCCCCATATAGCTGGCCTGCAGTTGCTGTTGGGGGAAAGAAGCATGCCCAGAGCAAAATCTGCAAGTCCACTTTCCTCTGTCCCATCCATGACCCAGGAAGTAGCTGAGAGAGGATTCCCTTCTAGGGAAGACAGTGACGAAACTGCCTAAGGTGTGTGGGCTGGAAGCAGGTGGAGCTGGGGACCTTTGGAGAGGCTCTTACAGCACATGGCAGACCAGGTGCCAGAGGATGGCAGGAGGGTGGCATGTCCAGGACCTGGACTGGTCTCACTGCTAGGTGCCCATAAAGCCTAAAACTTGTCCAGATCTGAAGGCAGTGACGACCTGATTAAGCAGCACAGTGAGGGAGAAAATGCTCATCGTACCTGCAGTTTACAAAGTTCCTGGTCCTCTTGCACTGACCCAGACTCGAGTTGAGTGGAGTGGGCTGGGAAGACAGTGTTTTTGTGCTGTCCTGGCACCCAGGAAGGAACATCCAAAGGTGCAGGTGCAGTTTGGGGGACAATCTTCGTCTTAAGAACCAGCACTGCGGCTGGCGATCAGGCTGACCCCGTAGGGCTGAGATCCGCATCCAGGTGTTGGAAACAAACTCCTGTGGACTTGACCGTCCTGAATTGCTGTTCCCAATGCCAGAACTCTGGAGCCTCCCTGTGCACAGGGTCCCAGCACCTATCACTGGATACAAGCCCACAGCCTGCTGCTGGGCTGCACCACACATGGTGGCTGAGGTGACAGTGTCACAGGGACCCACCCACAGGCTTAACTAGTGTGCTGGTAACCCAAATCAACTGTTGCATAAATCATGAAGTGACCTATGTCCCTCTGAGTTACCTGTCTGCACATGGGAGAAGTGGGCCTCTCCATCAGGATGGAGGTCTCTCTGGCCCAGATTCTGCCCATGATTACTGGCAAAGACTCCAAGGACCAGCAGGTCTTGAGTGGGTTACTGGGAAGTAGCTTGTGTCTGAATAAGACTCCTGGTCCCGAGGCAGAGTTGGAATCACACCACAGGTGGGCCTCATCCTGGGCTTGGAGGCCTCAATTAGATGCTCTGTGAGATAAAGTGAAAGATGTGGCCCCCACCTGTCAGATTAGCCAGTGCTGATAAGAGTGTCCAACTCACGCAAAAACTGAGCTAACCAAGTCTCAGCCAAGCCTCCAGTTCAAAGCCAAGAGACTGTTGGGAGAGGCCATCTTCCCTACACGTTCAGTGTGCTAAGTGCTGACTGGCCCTGTCCACTCTTTACCTGGGCTGCTGGCAGAAAACCCAGGGGATGAGCAGTGACCCCACCCTGCCATCTGCTAGTACAGCAGGCTTGTTCACCACTCACTAGAGGCAGTGGGCCCCCATCTGTCTCTCAACTGATGCACCCAGTGTACACTGTCAGGGCCCCTGTATCACTCTGGACGTGAGAACCAATGTGCCCTCGCCAACATGCCAATCCTGTGGCGCATCTGCTCCATGTCCAGCCAGCCTCCATGAAGAGGCAACAGGCTCACCTGTCAGCTTGCAGACCCTCCTACATCTGGCAGTTTCTGCAGCAACAGGAGGCATATTGAGAAAACCTGGTAGGCAGTGATACAGCATATGTCCTGGTCTCTGGGTGGGCCCAGTGGGCTAATGAGCCACTCCTGCTGAGGCCCAGGCCTACAGTTTGGCTGAAGATGCTGGCTCTGGGTCTCAGCACAGGAGGGGAGGGGAGTGACGCCAAGCAGCTGCTCAATTTCACAGTTCAGTCCTTACAACCAACCTGTACAGAGCTCAGATGAGCAGACAGGCTGGGATTTCAGGGAGAGAAGGTGATGCCAGAAGGCTCCCGGGACAGGCACTGTTCTCGAGCACCCACACAGATCTGGGCTCAACAAATGTCAACCACACTGACCAGCTGCCGAAGAGTTGGCACTGGGGCTCTTGATGGGGTATGAGATTTAAGGGACAGGAGTCAGGTGAAGGCAGAGGGGATTCTAGGTAGCCCTCTTCTGGATTCGCACTGATGCACTGGCAACAGCCATCCCACTGCAGCCAGTCTGCGACTGTGCTTACAGGCAGACACAGGGAACTCCCCTAACCCACTCATCCAGCAGGGCTCAGAGGGCTTTCCTCATTCCCTTCCTCATGCACAGGCCCTGGGATCCTCCCTCTGTGACCTCAGGACTCTGGCATGCGCACTCTGATGCTGGCACCACAGGCTCTATCAAACAGGACAAGGTCAACCATTCCAGCAAATGAACACACTTCTATGAATTTGGACACCTGAGAGCAATTCTGAATCTTTCCCAACATTCTAAGTTCTTGTCACTATAATAATCTCATCTAAAGTAAATTAAGGCTTTAGGTTTGTTTACATTTACACGTTTATATAGGTGAGTGGTCTATCCCATGTGAGTTTTCTGATGCTGAGTAAGCCTTGAGCTCCGATTAAAAGCTTTACCACAATCATTACATTTATAAGGCTTCTCGCCAGTGTGAATTCTTTGATGTATAATTAGATGTGAGCGCCATCTGAATATCTTCTCGCATTCATTACATTTATGCAGTTTCTTCACAGTATTAACTTTCTTTCGGCTCACGTGGGTAGAACCATCAAGGGTGTTCCCATATTCGTGGTACCACTGGGCTCGAGTGTGTATTCTCTGGTGTTCAATAAGATATGAGCTCCTACTGAATGCTTTCCCACACTCACTACATCCATAGGGCTTCACTCCAGCATGAATTATCTGGTGTTGGAAAAGGGTTGAGTTTTGACTGAAGGCTTTTCCACATTCGCTGCATTTATAGGGCCTCTCCCCAGTGTGAACCCTTTGATGTATTGTGAGCTGTGTGCTCATACTGAAGGCCTTACCACATTCGAGGCACCCATAGGGCTTCTCTCCCTTATGGATCCTCTGATGGTAAATGAGGCTTGAGCTCTGGCTGAAGGCCTTTCCACAGTCACTGCACTCATAGGGTTTCTCGCCAGTGTGAATTCGTTGATGCTGAATTAGGTGTGAGCCCTGGACAAAGCCTTTCCCACACTCATCACATTTAAATGGTTTTTCTCCAGTGTGAGTTCTCTGGTGGCGAATAAGCCGTGAGCTACAACCAAAGGCTTTTGCACACTTGTTGCATTTATAAGGTTTCTCTCCGGTGTGAGTCAGTTGATGCTGACTAAGGCGGGAGACCCACCTGAAGGCCTTCCCACACTCATCACACTTGAATGGCTTCTCTGCAGCATGGATTCCCTGATGTATGACAAGGCTGGGACTACCTGGGGTTCTGGGGATTTGAGGTTTCTCCCCAGTGTGTATCCGTTGGTGCTGGGCTAGTGTTGAGCTCTGGCTAAAAGCCTTCCCACATTCCTGGCATGGGTAGGGCCTTTCCCCAGTATGAGTCCTCTGGTGTCTGACCAGCTGAGACTGCTGGCTGAAGGCCTTCCCACACTCCCGACAGCTGTAGGGCCTCTCTCCTGTGTGGACCCTCTGATGATGGATGAGGCTAGAACTCTGACCAAAGGCTTTTCCACATTCCTCACACCTGTAGGGCTTCTCTCCAGTATGAATTCTTTGATGCTGAATAAGTTTTGAGCTCAGACGAAAGGCTTTTCCACATTCAATGCATTTGAATGGTTTCTCTCCAGTGTGGATTCTCTGATGCTGAGTCAGCTGTGAGCCCAGCCTGAAGACTTTCCCACATTCCTCACATTGGTATGGCCTCTCTCCATGCCAGTTACTTTGATGTCTCCCCTGTAAGCAATCAGATAGCTTTTTTTGGCACTCACAGCATCTGCTAAGTTTCTCCTGTGTATTAATTTCAGGATGCATAGCAACATCTGAAGTATATCTGAAATTCTTGCCACACATGTGGCACCTCCAGGGTGAACCTCCAGCAGTACCTTCCTGACTTTTACCAGGCTGACAGCCCAGATGGCTGCTGCTCCCCAGCTCACCATGGTTCTGGGCATCCCTTTTGGGAGCCACAGTCCCTGTGCTCAAGTGGTTTTTCTGGAAGAGGGAACATGGCTTACTCTCTGACCAGACTTCAGAGTCAGAGGTGTATCCCAAAACAGGACTCAGTGGAAAATCCTGTGGAGGGGTTTTGACCATCGCTGCACAGGATTCTGATTTTAGAGTGTCTGTGTCCTCACAGGCCTGCTCAAAGGCACGCTCGCCATCAGTCCCAACAGCAGAATCTGAAACAAACAGGAAATAATATGCCCCTTGCTCAGAGAAAGGACAAAGTCTGGGCATGGTCACACCCCACAGGGATGGCACTATGAGAATTCAGTGCCTTCATCAGTTCTCAAAATTTGGTTTCATCCACTCCTTTGACTTTATGCATTCATTCAACTACTGTGTACTCAGCAGAATGCTAAGAGCTGCCCTTCCAGATGGGGGACACATTGGCAGAGGTTCATTCTATAGGGAACTGACATGAGGAAAAACCCATGAGGAAGCAAAGTGAGCCTGAGAGGGTGGCAAGTTTGACAAGAGGCAGAATTAGGTTGAAAAGTCGGGGGGGTGGGGGGGATGACACAGCTGCAGGCCCTGCCCTCTCCTGCCCCTCTGGGCCCATCCTTGGATATCTGCTGTACCAGCCAGGAACAAACAACATCTGTGGGCATTTACATTTTTCTAACATGTTCCACATTATTCCCATCTATGAGCTGTTCTGCTGCCCTGTGCCCTCGGGGTTCTGAGCAGCTCCAGGTCTCATGGTGGGGACGTCTTCTTTGTTGCTGCCAAACAATGGGCACCATAAAGACTGGTACATATAGATCCACTGAACTACCTAATTTTGCCAACTCAGGCTGGCTTTTCTGCTGTGGTGCCCTCTTTGAAATCTCCCCTGCAGCTTAGAATTATTTATTGGGGGGGCTGGATTTTAACTGGACCAGCCTATAGCTATACCTCCTTCCAGAAAGGATTGGAAAGGAAGGCAGGGTGTTCAACTATGGAGACAGGGGTGTCCAGGGGCTGGGGCTAAGGCCTCCAACACTCCTGCCCACACCTCCCATATAGCAGCAGAGCAGGACAGTGTCTCTCAGAGACCCAAAACCTGTTCTACGAGGGCACCTCCAGGCAGAGCCTTAACAGTCATGATTCCGGTTCTCCTACTTGCTCCTGGGCCCTGCCCTGCTGCGGCAGGGACCGTGGAACATGGCAGCCAACAGGGAGGGGATTCGTTTCTGTGGCCGAGACGTGGGTACACCAATCTCCCTAACCAAACTGGACAACATTTCTGCCAGGGAGCTCAGACAAGGCTGCGGCAATGGCATCTCCCCAACAGGGGTGTGGCAGGAGCCCACACTATGAGGTGGCAGGGCCCGTCACAAGCTGACTGTGCCCCCCCCCAAAAGATGTGAAGCTCCAACCCCAATACCTCAGAATATGACCTTATTTGTAAGCAGGATCACTGAGATGGAGTTAGTTAAGAGGAGGTTATACTGGAGTAGAGGGACCCCTAAGCTGTATAACTGGTGTTGCTGTGAGAAGATAAGACACAGCAGGAGGCCACATGACGAAGGACTGGAGGGACATGGCCATAGCCAAGGAATACCTGGAGCCACCAGAAGCTGGAAGAGGCAGGAAGGATCCTCTCATAAGGTTTTTCAGACACCTGGCCTCCAGAGCTGAGAGGATAAATCTCTGCTGCCTTAAGCCTTCAGTGTGTGGAGCTTTGTTACAGCAGCCCCAGTAAATTAACATAGCTGTGGAGCCTGATGTGAGAGGCTGGGGTCACCCAGCGCCCCAAGAAATTACAGAGAGCTGCCAGCAGCGAGGAGGGACTGTCTGAGAGACAGCTGATGTTCACCTGAAAGGCTGCTCAGATCCAAACAGTGCTTCCCTTGGATCGGTAAGTTTGCACCTTTACTTGATAAGAACATGAGTGAAACTAGAAACTGAACAGATCTGGCACAAAAACAGTTTTTTTTTCCTATTACACAGGTTTTGTGTCCTTGCTTTCTGTGGTTCAGTCTCTCTCAAGGCAGCCCCATGACTGGTACATGCTTCCATCAATGGGCTACTCCATGGCCCATGGTGTCCCCAGGCAGCCCAGTTAAGTCACTGGGGCCCACCTCCAGCCTCCCAGCTGCAGTCCTTGCTGGGCATGGCTTCTCTGAACCCCTCCTCACTCCTCTGCCCAGAGGCTTCTCTGCCACAGGCTCAAGCCTCACCTGTCCAGGAGGTCCTTGGCACCTCTCTCCCCTCTGCTCCCTGAAGGTCAAGGACCCAAGGCTCTTGCCCCTGCTCCAACCGGGAGATCAGCTCAGGCTTGAAGACCAGGAATCCTGCTGTGGGGACGGCAGAAAAGAAGACCATCTCAGTGTGGCTGGCAGCACAGCACAGGGACTCAGTGCCCACTGGTTTCCTTGGGCACAGGCAGAGCCTCTGAGGCTTGATGCATCGGTGGGGAGGGTTTGGGCAAAGCGGCCCTCTCTTTCTAGATCTTTCCAGCTCTTGAGGGTGGGCAGCAAATGATGCCTGGACTTCCAGCCCATCCCTGTCTACAGCAGGGCCATGATCTCCAGGGGATCCTGTCACTAAACAGTCCTCAAAGAACAGGCTGGCTCTACCCCAGGGAGAGGGAGGCCAGGCACTGCCAGTGCTCCCCTCAGCAGAGGTGGGTAGTCCCTCGGTCCTTCTAAGAGGTGGAGGTGGGTAGGTAACAAGGCAGAAACAGCAAAAATAAACCAACAGATGAAACGGCTCTTAAATTTGAAGGCGCTAATGTCCAGTCCTCACCTGGTTGCCCCCAGCTTCATATCCTTGCACAAAGTCTGGAGCTTTGGCAGATTGGGCAGTGGTGGAGACCTGCAGATGCCCACTTGGCACCCACCTTGTGGGGACACCAGCCCCTTGCTCTGGAGAAGCAGAGCTCCCAACCCACCCAAGGGCCACCCAGGCCCTCTGGTTGGAGCTCCCTTCAGGTTTCTGGCTGTGGGGTTGAGAAGGGCAGGCTGAGAGATCCTGGAGGCAGAAAACCTCAGGTATGGGCAGGACCCCATGCTCAACAGGAAACACATGTTCTCTCCAAACACACATGGAACATTCAGAGAAACATCCTCGGCCAGCCATGAAGGGAGCCACCCACCAAAACCAAGTGGACATGAAAGTAATCACAAAAGTGGGTCAAGCTGTGAGCTACTTGGAAACTAATGAATGACTAAGTAGCAGCTGTATTTACCACAAGTCAAAATTTGTAGGATACAGTTGAAGCAGAACTTGCAGATAAAATTTTACATTTTCAAACATGTTTATCAGAAATGAAAATGGTAAAACACAAATGATGTGAATATTAAATTCAAGCAGTCGGGAACAAAACAACACAGCAACAAAACAGAACAAAACAACAAACACAAATAAACAAACAGGAAGAAATAGATAAAGGCAGGGCAGGATTCAACTAAATAGAGAAAAAAAGGGAAAACAAACTAACAAGGACCCTCCACCCCTTGGACCCCTCCCCTACACAGAGATCACCAAGACCAAGATCAGGTTCTTTGAAAAGGCGGATGCAGGTCCTGTGGTGGAACTGGGGAAGGTCAACATAGTGAAAAAATACCGCTAAAAAATTAAAAAAGGGAACGTATCAAGAGACTAAAAACAAAAAGGATAAGTATTATGAATACATAAATTTCCTAAAAAATGGAAAATCTAAAAATTATGTCAATTTGTAGAAAACTAGAAATGACAAAATTAGCAGAAACACACAAACTTAACAGACCACTAAGCAAGAGATATAAATGCTAGTGCAAGATCTTCTTTCCCCAAGCACCCAAGGCCCAGATGATTTTACAGTAAGTTCTCCCCAAAACCTGAAGTTTCAATTAATTTTATTGATGTAAATTTTAAAAGATAGCAAATCCAGAAGCCAAAGAAGATCACAAAAGCTGCCCAGCTCATTTTATGAAACTTGTATGCCAAATGCCATTTGCCAAAAATGCCAAAACTATGTATGGGTAATTCACAAAAAAGGAACATATAAATCCACTTTGCTTATGAACAGGGATGTATAAATCCAAAATACAATTTTGGCTAGCTGAGTCTAAAAGGGCATCAAAATTCATATGTAAAATTATTACAATTTAGGTAGGGTTTACTCCAGAAATATAAGAAAACATGTCAATGTAATTTACTAAACTAACAGACTCAAGAAAAAAAAATCTTGAGTATCAAAACTGGTGCAGAAAATTTGAAATTCAATATTTATTCACGATGAGAAACAAAATTCCTAGCAAACTTCTTTTGGTTCATAACTCCAGGTGCTCCCTTTAAAATCAGGAACCAAACAGGCATCCCCACAACAGTCCTAACAACACTGGTATTCTAGACACTGTGAAAGGTCAGGACACACAGGGTCCAGGAGAGAAAATACCAAACTCTCATTTGCGAGCCCCTCCTATAAAAATGTAACAGGGAATAAGCAGGGAGTTCAGGAAGTTGTCACATACAAGATTAACCCTCCAAAAGCCAACATTTCTGTGCAGCAGTAATCAGCTAAAAATACAGTAACATAAAAAAGATACACTCTGGACAGTGATAATGGGGTATGTGGGGGGGACTTGGTGAAGAGGGGAGTCTAGTAAACATAATGTTCCTTATAGAATTGTAGATTAATGATACCAAAAAAATAAAATAAAATACACTCACAAAACAACCAACACTAAAGCATGTAGAAGACCTAATTCCAAGTACACAGAAGGCAGTGGAATAAATGGAGACATATTTCATGTTCTTGGATAGGGGCAGTCAGTATCCAAAAGATGCTAGTTCTCTTCATACTATCCACAAATTCAAAACACTCCCAATAAAAGGTCCAGTGTGACTTGTAAGGAACTCAAACTTATTGCAAGTTTATGTGAAAGAATTACCCTATTACCTATGAAAAGGTAAATGAAATTTAAAAAATAAAAAGGGGGTTGAGTTGGCCCATGAAAGCTGAAGGAAGAGACCAGAGCTTGGAAATACCATCACAGAGGAAAAAGGCAGCTCCACAAACCAACAGAAAAGGATGGATCATTTGCAGGTGATGCTGGGGAAATGGCTGCGTGGACAGAAATAAAACAGGATTCTTTCTTAATTCCACACACAAATGTGAGAGCCCAGATATAAAAGAGGAAAATAAACTATAAAATCCAAAGGAGGCAGGCCGTCTCGATGACCTTGGAGTAAAAAAGAACTTTTTAAAACTTCAGACACACAACCCATAAGGCAAAAACTGATGGGCTCCATTAAAATCTGACCTCACAAGGTTAACAAACATGAGAGAACGGGAAAACATTTATAATGCACAAAACTGATGCAGTGTTATCACATTTGATGTATTCTAAAGCAGACTTAAAATCATTTTTGTATCTCTACACTTGGGTCCATCTTGCAACCGCTGTCCTCAGTGCGGTGGTGGCTGTGACCCACCGTCCTGCCTGGGCCCAGGCACCGGGCCACGACCACTCACACTGCCGTTGTTTCAACTCAGTCACCAGCATGGTTGTGCAACACAGCTGTCTCACCCTCTTTGCACTTTCTTCAATAAGGTGACCCTGTGACTTGGCTCTGAAGTGACAAGTCCTGTACAGCAGGAAGCTGCGGACAAAAAGCGGGTGGGCGCACCTCTGAGGTTGGAGAATTATGTGGAGCAGTGACTGAATTCAGCCGCTGTTAGATCAGTATGTGCATACCAGGCCTAAGGACAGGCCTGGCAATGAAGCCACTTGGCTTGTCACCAAGATCCACACAGAAGGAATGACTGCCCCACCCTGAGCAAGAAAGGCTGAGTGTCAGCTTCACCAGATGGAAGAAAACCCTGGCAACACTTAGGCTGCATCACCCACACTCTCGATGGCCCCAAAGACGCCATCAGAAGAAACCATGGACACAGACACCAAATGCAGCATAAGTGACGCTCTGAAACATGGCCAAAGTGAAACCATCTTGGTTAAAGCCAGTTTAAAGTAAGTTACTGGGTCACATTCCTGGGCTGTAGTCATGAGCAGGGAAAGACCTTTATCTTTGTGGTGTTAGGGCAAGAGACAGAGAATGCAAAACTGCTTTGTGCTGAAGAGAAACACTGAGATAAGAACTCCATGCTTGCCTGCTTTTCTACACACAACGATCTGTGCTCTTGAAGTAGCCCCTTCCCTGATAAAAGGTAGCCTGGGGTGGGGAGTTGGTGAGTTCGATTGAGCAACTGCCCACAGCTGCCCGAATGTCACCCACAGCTCCCTAAGTAACCCCTTAATAAAACTCATTGACTCTCCAAGCTGGACTTGTCCGAGTCATTCTTTGGCCCATTGGTTCAATAACAATTTGTGGGGAAGGCATTACCTTTATGTCCTCCACAAAATCCCTCTAACACTGAATTGCTGGAGGACGCAAAGGGACAAGAGGAACGCCCTGGCCAATGTGCTCTGTGTCTTCACATTTTTATTTCAGGACACATGATAAGACATGTCTAAATGGGTCTAAAAGGACTCTTAAAATATTCCTTCAGTTTTCTTTTGCTCTTATACTCCACAGATAAGTGAAATCATTTGGTATTTGTCTTTCTCCGCTTGGCTTATTTCACTGAGCATAATACCTTCTAGTTCCATCCATGTTGTTGCAAATGGTAGGATTTGTTTTCTTCTTATGGCTGAATAATATTCCATTGTGTATATGAACCACCTCTTCCTTATCCATTCATCTACTGATGGACACTTAGGTTGCTTCCATTTCTTGGCTACTGTAAATAGTGCTGCGATAAACATACGGGTGCATCTGAAGGACACTTAAAATGTATAAAATGAAAAACTTAACCAAGAAAATTTGTGTTGCAGTATAATCAGAGCAACACTCTACCTCTTAATGGTACATAAAACATGGATGTGTTTCACTATGTATGGCATCAGATTCAGTGATATCTAATACGAGAAAAAACACTACCTCCAAATCAATAAAGCCCAGCAACCCCCACAGAAAACAAGCCAAGGCTCTGAGCAGACCCTTCAGTGAAGAAACCTGGCTCTTCACCTTAATGAGTGAAAAGATGCTCAGGGTCAGCAGTTATTAAAGAAATGCAAGCTCAAACCAAGACAGGCCCTCACCATGTGCCCATTTGCCTGGCAACCCACGAGAAAGCTGGGCCTAGCAGGGCTGACGAGGACAGAGGGGCACAGGTCTGGGCCGGGATACAGAGAAGCACCTGGTTGACCACCTCACCCCTGCCTAACCCCCGCTCTTGGCTCCCCCAGCTCAGATGCTCTCTCGCTGGTCCAGCTTGCTCATGTTCTGTGGCGCTGGAGATGGTTTGGTACGATCCACGTAATGGTACACCTTATGAGAACACAAACCAGCAACACAGGATGGGAAAGGAAGACTGACAGCAGGCAGGAGAGGTAAGTGGCCCCCAGGGCATCACTGCCTCCCTGGCTTTGGCTGTTCAACCATCTCCTTGGATCCCACAAGCCAGTAATTTTCCTTTTATTATCTGAGCTATGTCTAGTTTGGATTCTATTTCTTACAACTTAATTATTAGCTCAGGCAAAAAGGAGGCTTTATAAGCTTCCAGAAGTCCACCTGCCCTGTGAGGACTGAATTATGTGACAAGTAGAAAGATTGGAACCTGCCTGGCACATCAAGACCTCTCCCAGGGTAGCTCCTGACACACAGATTCACAGGCCACAGGCCCCTATTTAGCTTGGAGGGCCTGAACACACAGCCTCCAGACCCCCAGCCTCCGACGGATGCCTGGCTAGGAAGGTGCTGACCGATGGTGCAGGGGGATGGGTCCCAAAGTGCCATCTCACCTAGTCCTGCCACACTGCTGTGGTTCTCCAGCATCACCTCCTTGTAGAGGGCCCTCTGGCCAGGGTCCAGGCACTGCCATTCCTCCCGTGAGAAGTGCACGGCCACATCACCAAATGTCACAGACTCCTGCAAAGACACACACCAGCACCCCAGGGGCTCCTGGGTGCCAGCCCCATTCTGGCACTGCATCACGGCATGTCTCAGGCACATGACCACAGTGTTGGGCAAGACAATCACCAGGCCCCTTTGGCTCTAAAATCGGGGTGGGGAGGCAGCAAGGAGGGGGGAACCCACACCATGGTGATCTACAACCCTCCCCCAAGAGCCTCAGGCAGACCCCAGTCCGGGCAGGAGTTTAGTCACTACGTTGAGGATGGGAATGCCTAAACCTGGAAAGGGCCATAGCAAAGGGCCGAGGGAGGGTATAGGTCAAGGCCCAGTGGGTAGAGTGGGTTCCCAGAGAAGGTAAGGGCCCTCAGAGGTAGAGTGAAGGAATGGAGGCAGGCATACTCCTACCATGAGGCTGGGTGGGTGGGCTTCCATGTGTCCTGGCCCAGAGACCTGTTGGCAGTTATGAAAGGGTCAGAGGTCAGGGTGCAGCAGGTCTGCCAGGCTAATCAAGGTTACTGTGTTCTCTCATCCTTTATCTACAACCCCAGATGTTCTCTGGCAGGGCCAAAGTGGTCACAACACTTGAAAATCTGGCCCCCTGAAGCTCCAGTCATCTTTCGGAGTGTGTGATGTGTATGAATCACTCCACAAACATGTAAGGGGTGTTTACCTCGTGTGCCAGGTGTTTAACTAACCAATGGAGATGCAGCTGTGAACACTACGCAAGGACTTTGCCTTCATGAAGCAAAGTCTACAGGAGGAAAAAGTCAAATTAACCACATAAATAAATGCAAAATTACAAACTTGATAATGCCGAAGTACAGGGGACTCTTTGACAGGTCACTTTCCCCAGAAGCGAACTAGACGAAGGTGACAGAGATGGAGAGGGTACTCCAGGCAGCAGAAGCAGCATGTGTGAAGGGCCTCAGGCATGCAGGAATGGGGCTTTATAAGCCAGTTGGGATGGATCATGGACAGCAAGGGTAAGTAAGTAAAGTGTGACTAGAGGCTGGAGTACACAAAAGCCAGAACGATAGGCTGTAGAGAAAACAAGAACCTCGGCCCTCCCTATATAAATTTGGTCCCTTCCCAAGGCATCCACCAGGGAGGTATGAATGAGAAGAGGGCTTCCTACGGGGGCTTTTGGCTGAAAGCGTCTTGTGGGTGGAGGCCCCAGGCCGTCTGCAGAGCGAGGCTGCCTGAAGCAGCAGGGACTCCGGGACTTCGGTCACGTGGGCCCCCTCCTGGCTCAGGCCAGGAGAAATGAAACTTCCAGCATTGACTTTTGGGTCCCCAGTACAGAGGGCAGGTAATGGGCGGCAGCCAGAATTCAGACAAACAGCTTGCCCCACCTAAGGCTCAGCCCTTTTTGTCAGTGTCATTAAATCCAGATCTTCCAGGCAATAAGTGAGGGAAAAAGGGCCCTGGAAGGGGACAGTTACACAGAAAGGAGAAACTGGAACCCCCCGAGCAGGCCTAGACGTGGCAGGAAGGCCGCGACTGGAGCCCGCTGGCAGCCAGGCTGCCACGCGGCCGGGCCTGCGGGGCTCCGCCAAACGCCTCCCACCTCCGCAGGCCCCGGCCGCGTCTCGACCACCGCCCCGGACAGGAGCCCACAGCCTCTCCAAAGCGCCGCGGCATCCGTGCTGCGACGCCAAGAAGCTAGGGAGCGCGCGGCTCGCAGTGCCGGAGGCGTGATGCGCTAGCAGATCCGCCGGTCCTCAGCCCGAGGGCGAGGAGAACGCAGGGACACCCTGACTGGAGTCCGCGCCCGCCGAACCATCTCACCCTTCCGGAGGCCCGCCCGAGGCTCGGTACGCGCGGCGACGCCGGAAACGAGCCTCGAACCTGCGCCCCTTCTAGCCTGCAGACTTCTGGTCGCTCTGGGCAGCTCGGAGGTCAACATCTCAGTGGTTTCCAGGACCGCTCCCCGGGGCGCCGAAGGGGCGGGGCCATAGTGCGAAAGAACCGCATGGCCAGGGGCGGGGCCAGGGAAAGGGCGGGGCCTAGGGTAGGGCGGGCCAAAACACAGAAGGACTGGAGGTCCGGGCGGAGGCGGGGCTCAAGTGAGTATCCGGGGGCCGGTACAGACCCTTGCTGACTGCGAGCACTTCGCATCACAAGGCCTGGGCTTTTCTGCCGCAGAATGCACCCTCTGGGCACCCAGGCCCTGCCCCGGGGCGGGGAAGGGTCCAACCGCCTGTGGAGAGAGCTGGTGTTTCCCGGTGGGCGGGGCAAGTGGTCCTGGTGGAGGGTACCGTAGGGGCGGGGGCAGAGAGGCCTGGAAAGGGCCGTGAGCCGGGCGCCTACCCTGGCTGTGGCGCGGGGTTCGGGGAAGCGGGACGGCCCAGGGCGCTGAGAGACTCGATGCGGTGGGAAGCCACGGACCCCAGGGCTACCTGCCCGGGGTTTCTTCCAGATACACATACTGCGCTGTGTATCGGTCGCGTGGGCCCCCACCTGGCTCTGGCCAGGAGGAATGAAACTGCCTGCATTGACTTTTGGATCCCCAGTACAGAAGGGCAAGTGGGGAGCGGGCTTGCCCCACTTCCTTAGGAGCCCGAGACGAGTGGTGGCGGACCTGCCCGGGTTCGGAAGCCCCTCCCTTCGGTGGCCCGGCTCCCTGCGATCTCGGAGAGGACGCCCTCGGCGTCTCTGGGTTCTTCAACTCCCTGTGGCTCCAGTTCTTGGCGCTCTTCTCGGCACCAGGCAGGAGGCGGGGACCGCGGGGCACAGAACTCCGGGTCCCCGGCACAGCCATGAGGAAATACGGCACAAACCAAAGGAAGAAAGTGGACATAGCTTTCCAACCCTGCTCCTAGCGTAGGTCCTAGGGAAAGACTGATTTGCCCTGCCCGGGGCGCAGAGGGACCAGTCTTTCCCTCCCAGGGCCACGGGCCTCGGCGCCCCATCCTGCGCCTCCGCATCTGCGAACTAGGCTCTGCCATTCCCACATTCTCTCGGGGTCCCGCTCAGGGACGAAGAGACGAGTAAATGGAGGTAGGGCTTCTCCGTGATGGGGAAAGCCTCAACAATTTTGGTTTCTTCCAGTTCAGTGGTTTGTAGCAGAACCTAACATTTAGGGGAAGTGTGCTGCCTGAGACTAAAAGTTTCCAAGCCTCTGCTGCAGACCTATGTATATATCAAGTGCAGGTAAACTCTGGAGGAGAATGGCTACCAGTGCGGAGTATTAATAGGAAACTAACTGCAGGAAGTGAGGGCATGCGCTGCGCCCTCATGGAATTAATGCCATGGAGATGCCTGTTAGTGCCTCTGGGGACAAGAACTGTCATGTGGATTGCTCTCCAAGATGCATGGACAGGAGGGAGTTTTCGTGCTGCCAGGACTGTCTGGGAACGACAGCGGTGAGCTAGCTCTGTGATGGCAGCAGTGCTTGAAAGGGTCTTTTAGGCAGGGAGTGAGGGTAGGAACGTGTGCTGTTGCCCAGTTTCTTGTTCCAATGCTGCCACTACCTATCATGCCAGCTGCATGTTTCAGGGACAGCCCCCAGTACTAAGGGGGTGTTGTCCTGCTGTTAGGCAGGAAAATAGATATGAGTGGGGTGGAAAGAGAATAAGGCCAATAAAGCCCACTAGAAGGGACTCAGAATTAACCAGTTAAAAATAGAAAGCTCAGAAGACCAGGGGCAACTTGGCCTAGAAGTTTGAATACTCCCCCGATAAAGAAAAGTATCTCAGCATAGCCTGTTTTCACTGTGTCGATTAGAACATACCGTTGGTAAGATTTACTTTAGCTCCTGCTAAAAGGCCCAGTTTATTCAGGAAGAATTCTATTTAAAAAACTAAGATAGCAGTTTAATCAAATGGACAGTGGCTCAGCCCACGTTGGGGGCCAGGGCAGACAGTCTTGATTGATACGCTTTACAGACAGAAGCTGATATCCTGGAAAGGAATCAAAGCAGTCTATTTCTTGTATTAAGTAAAAAAAAAACCAAAAACTTAATGTCTTAACAAAAATGAATATTCTAGGACAATTTGGCAGGTCTGCACCTGGCCCTTTATCACTCTCCTGAAAGTCCTCAACCGCCTATAAAACCCCAGACCCTAAACCTCTCAGTGCACTCCTCTCTGAGGTCATCCGCACTTTCTAAAAGCGTAACTTTAATAAAACTCTTTCTCAACACTTCAGTGCACTCCTCTGAGGTCACCTGCACTTCTAAGTAACTTTAAAACTTTTGCTCTGCTTTACTACTGTCTCTGCCCTTCAATTCTTTGTTGCCAGGGGGGCCAAGAATGAAGGAAAATGCACAATGCTCTCCACTCTCCTAACACTGCCTCTCATGCCCCTCAGGGACCAGGCTTCCTATGGATCCTCACTGTGGCCCAGGTCCCAGCTGTGGGATGCCCAGCACCAGTGGAGCCATGCATGAGTCTCAGGGGAGCCCCACCAGCTACATTCCCACCTGGCATGGAGTCCGGCCTACCCTTGGGTAGTGACTAACTCCTTCCCCCAATTTGCTTATCTCATTGATAACAATGTGTCCCTGGGGGGCCCTGAGTGTACAACACCCTCCCTCACTGCACGTCCAGTTCCCTGTGGCCATATTCCCTCCTCTTCCTGATCATTCTGGGCTGGCCTGGCTTCCTTTCCAGCTCCAGCTTGGGCTGTGCAGGGTCTGGTGCTAAGAAGGCCTGGCTGTGGCTACATCTGTGGCGGTGTCCCTTTGCCCAGATACTGTGGACACTGCACATACCCTAGAACCTATATGCACCAGGGAATAGTGGTCAGTAGTGACTGGGGAGTGGGGCAGGGACAGTGGGGAAAGGAGCCAGGCTAGGTACCCAGCCCCACCTTCTGACCTCCCTGTTCACCTGGGCCTTTATTCCTCAGCCCAGGTGGCCACCTGATCCCACCATTCTTCCGAAGGCTGCCAGAGCTGCACACTCAGGCTGAGCCCCCCAGGGAACCAGCCTTCCTCAGTAACAGCCTGCCCCTCCCCTGAGACCATCTCCACCTGGCTTGGGTCTGGGTGGTCTGCTCCAGGCCTCCAGGGTGAGGGTTGATTGGGGTCTCCACCTGTTTCTGTTCTGGGGAGCTGCTGAACAAAGTCACTCACTAAGCTGCCCTCATGGTGACCTCTCTCACCAGCAGGCTGTGGGGCCATTTCTCCCCAGTGAGCAGCTTCTGCTGACAAGCCTGAAGGCAGGTCACCTCCCACCTGGCTGGGGCTCCTGAAGCTGCTCTTAGTGTGCTCCTTGCCCCTCAGACCAGAAAAGCATATTTTAGCTTATCTTCATGAATTGGCATGTCAGCCTTCTCTCTCCTCACCCTCACCCTGCCCTCTCACTTTCTTGGACCTTCCAGCTAGGCCTCCTTAGTGACTGGACTGTTCCCAGGGAAGTAGGAACCTTGAATTCCAGGAGCCTGTGACCTTCATTCACTTCAGATGGTCAATGTGGCAGTATCTGGGCCTGGGGCCTCTGCAAGGTGTCTTCCTGGGCTGGTGCTGTCCCATTGTCATGGGGCTGCAGCCCCCTCCTCTGCAGCCCCTGCTTCTCAGAGCTGTGACCCCAGAAGGCAGTCTGCAATGCCCCTGAGAGCCCCGTCACAGGACATCCTGCTTGGCTGCCCCAAGTCAGCTGCTTCTCAGGCCCAGGGCTGCTGTGCTAGACTTCTGAGCTCTGGCTATATACATGTCCTCTTCTCCTGGCCCTTGCTGGGGACTTTCCCAGCCTGACTCCCAAGGCCCTCTCTGGCCCTCTCACCTGCTAGCCGCAGACCCAGACCTGGGCTGAGCCTGGAGCCATCCTGGGGTCACATCATGAGCTGCCATGTGCTCTTTCCCTTCCCAGAAGCTGGCTTTTCTGGTCACCAAGCCCAGTGTCACACAACTGGGGTGAGAGTCCAAGCTTGGGGTTGGGTGTTGGCAGGTGCTGCACCATGGAGACTCAGATACCTACTAGTAGTGCAGGAAGGCAGGATTTGTGGGTGCCTGCTGTACTGCAGCATTTCATGCAGCCAGATCTTCCAGCAGAACTTGGCCCATTCCGTCCATTCACAGCAGCTATGGGCAGCACATAGAGAGGTGATCAGATTCTGGAAAGACTGGCTGGTTTCTTTGTATTTGCTCTGAGATGGACCATCTGTGACTGTAATCTGGGACACCCTCAGGATTGCTGGTGTCCCATTAGGGCAGCCTGCCTAGCTTCAGGTATCTGACCAGTGCACACAAGATGGTTAGTGAGTTCACAATGAAAGAGAAAGCACATCAGGTAGATTTCAGGTATGTTCAATCAGTGTTGCAGGACTCAGCCAAAACTCCCCGCCCCCCCCTTTCCACACTGCCCATCTCAGAACCAGGCAGCAATGTCACTGAACCAAACCAACCTGGGTCTGCTTGCCTGCCACACAGCAAGGTCAAGCACTGACATCAGGATGTGGCAGGCACCAGGCAAGAAGGGGTGGCTAATGCCTGAGGTCCAGAACTCCCCAGTTGGCTCACAAGCAGAGTTTTAGAGGCAACATTATGGGAAGAACTGCCAGGTGAGTTATCAGCCCGTGCCCACCCCTGATGAGCAGCAGTGAGGTGACAAGACTGTCACAGGGGTCCTAGTCCTCAGGCTGCATCCAGCCTGGGGCCTATGTGCTTGTGGTCAGGAGGAGACCCATGGGAGGGAGGAGTGTCTATGTTCCTAAAAAACATCTCAAAGATACTGAGTGGAGAGTTATCTGCGGCCCGGGGGGGAACTGAGCCCACATCTGTGTGGTTTGCAGCCTCCCATCTTCTGTAATCTAAGCCCCACACTCTGGGTCATGACCGG